GATCCTCCAACACGGTCCGCAGTTGCCATGTGTGGGTATCATAGTTGAAGGATCTAGTGAGACAACTATATAGCTGAGGCACAGGCTTACACAAAGTAATCCCTTGTTGAAGTAAGAGGGAAAGGGCACGTCGGTGAGCTCATGTGAGTCAGTCACCATGATCGAAGGTTAAGGCCTGCATGTGTAGCTCGCACTCTGTCACGCTGAGAGGCTGTGGGGGATGCAATGGATTGTGATTAACTGTCTGCATGCATTGCTTGCTCGAGCGGTCTTTGCCACTTCCCCAGTTAGTGCTCCTGTCAAGGACTCGAAGCACCTACAGGACTGCAGTACATAAAGCCGTTCTGTCACCACTTCTCTCAGGATTGTTCCTTCCATCCAATCTCGCTTCAAACTCATCAAGCCCTTATTGCCAACATGAGACTCACATCCGCCCTTCTTCTCGTCATCTTTCCGCTGCTTAGCAGCGCAACGCCAATCTCACCAACATCTCTCGTGTCAGGCAACGCACTCATGAAGAGGCAGCAGTGCTTCAATTGCTCCACCAGAGTCGCAAGTTGCAAGAATGTACGTCGTCTCTGCGTCCCTTCACACCTGCAACAATCAGCAGTGTGAGGAGAGGAGACTAGCTAACGTAGTAGTAGACTTGTGGCGGATCGACCGAGTGCGTGAGGACTTGCACATGTCAGATTGCGGCAGAGAGTTATTGTCGGGATGCTTGTGGGGTGAAGTGCACGTGAATTATAGGGGTTGGAGGGGCTGGGAGGGGTACGTGGAGTGAAATGCAGTGCTGGACGTTTGAGAAGGATGGGTTGTGATGGGAGCGTGGTTAGTGATGATCGGATTGCTCATTGACGAGGAGCCTAAGTGGGAGATCATAAAGCACCCAGCTCGGATTCTTCTTCTTCCTCCTCTAGACCATGAAGGTTCGCCTCTGACCTATATTGTCCTTTTCTCTTGACGGCAGCAGCCCTTGATGCATGTTGATTTTCGACATCAGTTTAATAATTCCCAATGAAGTACTCAGTCGGCGTCACTGACTCGTTAGATCTTAGAATAACGGGGGAAATAGGATTTGCCATCTGCGCAAAAGTGAGTGTAAGATGGTCGCTGGCATCTCGTGCTCTCGCACTTTCCTCGTCAATGTCTTGGCGTGCTTGCTCCGATTTGGTACCCCACGCGCGCGACCAACCAACCAGCATCAAGACACCGCAATCAATCTCAGCGGCATTCTGAAGATTTATTAACCGATCCAACGTACCTGGAATATCTGAACACTGCCGAGAGACACAATGCAGCGTCGCATGGTTCGTGGTATCAAAATTTGCGTTGCGTTCGCAGCGAGGCGCTAACAGAGTCGCAGCTCACCAAAGAGGAAGAGGCTGCGGCCGGTAATGAAGACATGGAGGTGCGCCGCGAAGATCAAGAAAAGATCAACAGGTTCAGTTCGTTGCATCAGAAGGAGGAGGTTATTGAGGAGGAGTTGAGGGCCAAAATTGTGCGTTACCACTCATTGTTCATCTCTATACGCAAGCTGATATCTTTGCAGAAGGAGAAGGAAGATCTCGCCGAGATATCAGACGAACTGGAACTAGTGGATGAGGAGGAGAAAGTGCCGTATGTTCATGATGCGTCTCTTCGATTTACTTTGAGGTGATCGGTCACGCATGTCGCTAACATGAGCTCACAGATACAAAGTTGGAGATTGTTTCGTCTCGTTACCACAGCCACAAGTCTTGGAATTGCTGGAGTCATCAACAGAGACCATCGACAAGGAGGTTGAGGAGCTGAAGACCAAACTTGAAGGTATTCAAGAAGAAATGGGTGAGCTCAAGAAAGCGCTGTACGGTCGTTTCGGCCGCAGCATCAACCTGGAAACGTAATCGCCGTTCACATGGACATACCAGAATCTGATGACTCAACGCAATCAAATGGGTATCGTTGGACTTCATTTGCTGGCGTTTTATAAATTCAAACACTGTTGGTCGACCCGCGAGAATGGATTGCATGCACTTGCATTTTGACAGCATGTTCGGCATTCTACCCGAAGCGACGTTTGCGGCATCTGGTAGGTGCACGCACGCCCTACAGCACCCATCAGAGTCGTGATCGCCAAACGATATCCGTCATGCAGTAATTAGCAAAGTTCCCCGCCCTAGCGGCAGTGGCCACGCTTGCGTTGCAATTACTCTCTCCAGTGAACCCTCATAAAAAGCGCACCTCGGATGGACCAGCACCACACGCGGGGTCAGTCCAGCCTTGCCAATCCCCAAGCATACATCGTTTAATGCAGTGTTCCTGATCTGTCTACTCTCATGCATTATTGTTTGTTTTTTACCGTCGCTGAAGGACTTTTATCGTGACAAGTGAAGGCGTCATCGGCTTGGAGATAATGGAGTCTGCGGATTTGGAGAGGACTTATTCCCGGGAGCAACAACGCGTGGGACCAGGACATGAAGTAATCACCACGCCGGTTGCGCTGGTACGCAGTGTGACTGGCAAAAGTCAGAGGAGCTTTCGCAGTCAGTGGAGTTCAAAAAGTCGCAGTAAGTAGGCTATCTGGTGGATGGGTTCAGTTGTAGGTGACTGACTCATTGGCGTAGGGAGAGATGAACGGACTGCGCGACTCAAGGATCTCGAAAAAGATGGGAATAGTTCAGCGGAGTTGGAGAAGGAAGATGGAATTGAGGAGGCTGTACCACGCACGTTGTCGATGTCGAGTTCGTCTCCACGACCGAGTTCACAGCTGCCAAATTCTGGCGCAGCGGACGACGGAGTGCGTGGGCGACGTATCATACGTTTCGACGATGATGATCCAGATGACCCAGATAACTGGGGAAGGGTAAGGACCAAATGACTTCCGATTTTTGAGATAATAACTGACGACTTCGCAGTGGAAGAAATGTTACGCAGTCTTTGTGGCCATCGTGAGTGGTGAGTACGATAGACCCTGCTATCAAGCATATCAGACTGACAAGTAGACAGTGATGAATAGTACGATGAATTCATCGTAAGTACCGAGCGCCTTCAACCTGATCCATACTTCTGACTGACAACACACAGACTCGGAGCTGGTGTAGTAGGACCTATATCCGAACACTTTGACGAGTACAATGAGCAAAAGCTCATTCTCCCAACCTCAATGTACCTCGTCGGCTACGTATGCGGTCCGATGGTATGGGGTCCGCTCTCGGAATCCTATGGTCGCAAAGGCGTCATGATGCAGTCGTTCCTAATGCTCACCGTCTTTTCCATCGCCTCAGCGGTCGCTCCAAACTTTGCAGCACTTGTTGTTTTCCGCCTATTCGTCGGTATCGGTGGCAGCGCTGCCATCAGTGTTGTCGGTGGTATCTGCGCGGATATCTACCACGACCCACAGTCTCGTGGGCGAAGCATGGCCATCTTCATGGCAGCAACAACATTCGGGCCCATCCTTGGCCCTCTTGTCGCCGGATTTATCGGAGTCATTTCGTGGAGTTGGCCGTTTTGGATCGGTGCGATCTTTGCAGGAGCGTCGTGGCCACTGTTCTTCTTCTTCCCAGAGACGTACGGGCCGGTCATTTTAAAACGCCGTGCGGAACGCATACGCAAGGAGACTGGTGAAGATGATATCGTTGCGCCTCTCGAGTTGGAAAAGACGGACCTCAATCATATCGTCACTGTGATTCTGACGAGACCATTGCGCATGATTTGCTTTGAGCCACTTGTGCTTTTCACTTGCTTGTACTTGAGCTACGCTTGTAAGATCGCGGTTCTTCAGAGCGACAAGTCTGGTGCTAACTTATCACAACAGATGCGATCTTCTACATCTTCCTGCAGTCCTACCCAGTCATCTTCTCTGGGATCTACCACTTCAACGCCGGCGAAGTCGGTCTTGCCTTCCTCCCGATCGGGGTAGGCGCATTCATATCAGCAATACTATATCTATCCTGGGATGCCATCCTTACTCGCGCACAACGGGCAAACAAGCCTTGGGCTGACAATGAAGAGATGCGCCGTCTGCCACTCGCTTGCATCGCCGGCCCCTTCTTTGTGATCTCCGCATTCTGGCTGGCCTGGACCGCCAAGGAAAGCATTCACTGGATCGTCCCTACGCTCGCTGGTATCCTCTTTGGCATGGGCTACCTATGCCTCTTCATGGCCCTTCTCAACTACCTCGTTGATGCGTATGAAGTGTTCGCTGCGTCCGCAATGGCAGCAGCATCGCTCTCGCGGTCTACATTCGGCGCCGTCCTACCATTCGCTGCGAAGCCCATGTATCGAACGATGGGTGTAGCATGGGCCACTAGTCTGTTAGGATTCTTCAGTCTAGCGCTGTGTGTAGTGCCATTCGTGTTTGTCAAGTGGGGAGGCAAAATGAGAGAAAAGAGTAAATTTTGTCAGTATCTTCGGGCGAAGAAAAAGGAAGAGGAAGAGGCGAGGGAAGCGGAGCGACGGGGAAGTAAGGCACAGGAAGTCAGGGTAGATCCATATGAGGTCAAGGGGAAGGAGGAGGTGTAGCTCTGTAGTTCTCACACTGCGCCAAAAAGTCCACCAAAAGTATTCAAATTATACGTGTATCCTCTACAAGTAGTAAAGATGATATTGTGTTAAATCTGGTGCCTTTGTCGTTTCCCTGCTACTGTCTAGGCTGAAGCGTCATGCTGTTAACAGAGACATAATAAAAACAAGCTCTTTGGTACGCTGTAGGCGCCCACAATCACGTTGAAATTCTCTGTGTGTTATTGAGTACTATCCGTGGGCAACTAGTGAGATGAAATACCAAGTAGACAGATATCACGACGACAAAGGACCTAGCCAAACAAACCTTAGCTTCAGTACTGGAACAAAACAAGGCTTCCTTTGTTCTTAATGTTCCCACCACTCGCTTCCTCGCTTCCAAGTGGGTTGCGCGGTTTAGATGTTCGCACCTCCACCAACACTCCCAAAAAACTTCATTCACCACCACGCAACCCCATTCCACCACAACAACCACCACCCAACAACACAAAAAACAAAGCTGCATCGGCCGGGAATCGAACCCGGGGCTAGCCGAAACTGTCAGGAGACAACTCAGAAGAGGTGAATCACTATGGCAACGGCTAATTTTACCACTAAACCACCGATGCGGTCATAAGAGGTGTTGTGGACTCTTCGATGGAAAGAAAGGTATTTATTTGATATATATTGAAGTTTTATCATGCGCAGCTGAGACTGTCAGTTCAGTTCAACGGCCGTGTGTCACCAGCGAAGTTTTCTGTTCTAGAGATTTTCCGGAGAGTGGGCCGGGGACTTTGAAGAATTTTGGTTTAGCCGAGCGTGGACTTGGATCTAATGCAGCATTCGTTAGACTCATTTGTGACACTACACTACAGATTGCAGTGTCAGTTGCTGCAGTATCAACCACTGTAGTCAGTGTGTTGAGTTGTGCGAAGACGATTATATGTATGGCCTGAACACAGGTATGTATATGTTGCGTGTCCGAAGTAATTTGACAATGACATTGAGCTACTGTACACGCACTACTCAAGGCTGTTACCAGCGTGGGATAAGTCAGGGGTTCAATGACAATTTGTTGCGGCTCGCACCGGGTGTACGACTATTGCATCGGTAGTTCGCATAAGACTACGGGCCGTTGCCATGATTGACAGAGCGACTCGGCTAGCCCCGGTATATATGAGATTACCGCATCGGTGGTTTAGGCGTAAAATTAGCCGTTGCCATCACATACTCTCAAGTACGAGAAACACACAACAAGTCACGCTCTACACCTCCAATCTGCATCCCAAGATCGAAACCAACCCATTTCATTACAACCATCTCAACTCATCCCCACGCACCCCTCACTCATCCTTAGAAAAGAACCCAACATCCCCACTCGTCTTCCCCAACTCCACAAGCCTCTCTCTCATCTTCCTTGCCCGCTCCACCATCTCCGGCTCAAACCCCTCAAAATCATATTCCTTCGCCCACTCCCCAACACCATGCTGCAGCACATTTCTCGCTCTCTCACCACCCGCCGCCGTCGTCCCAATACTACCATGCAGCGTCATGCGTTCCTTGGTACAATCATACACACCACGATGTAAAATGTTGTTATTATAAAACGCCACCTCGCCTGCTTTCAACTTGACCGTGATTTGCGCGGGGAGATGGTCAGCATAGGGATCTGCATTGCGTTCTGTCTCCGTGCGTGCGCGTTTGTGCGAACCGGGGATCAGAACGAGACTTTCGTCGTCGTAGAGGGCGAGATTCCATTGCGCGTGGTGGCTTGGTTTGGACAGGCGCTCTAGTTCTTCGTCTGGAGTTGCGGTGGCGGAGACGTCGTCGCGGTGCCAGCGGAGGCTGAAGGCCTGGTCTGGTCGGACGAGCATGTTGTAGAGTTCCATGGTGAGGTCGTCTTGGGAACAGTCGATGAGGGCTGCGACGTATCGCAGGAGTTCGCTGTCAAAGTAGGATTTGGCAAAGACGAGATGGTCGGGATTGGAGGGGTGGAGCAGGTGTTGGACGCCCCAGATGCCGTGTGATGGGTCTCGCGGCCAGGGTGGGAATTGCTTGGGGAGAGTGCGTATGTAGGGCCAGGATCCTGAGCGTGCGGCTTGGGTCATGCGTGAGGCGGCTGCTCGGAGGGCTTCGAGATCAAAGGTGGGGAAGAGGGAGGCGGATAGAATGACGAAGCCGTCACGATCGAGGGAGGCTTTTGCTGCGCGATAGGGATCATCGTGTGATGGTGTGATGTTCTTGGATTCGTGGCACTCTGTGGGTTTTGTAGCGGCTTGCATTACAGGCAATTGTGGAGTCGCTTTTGCGCTCTCAACCTTGCTTCCTTTTTCGGGCTGGAGAGATGTCATGTTGGCTTTGCTCAGAGTCTTGAGTGTATGATGTTACTACTTATCAGACGTATCGGTAGTAGATTGATCTGCTGTGGATCCCGTGGTAGACTTCGCGATAAAAAGTCAATAGTGGCCTTTCAACTTTCTTTCCTCCCACTTTCGTCAGATTGATCTATAGTGCCCAGGACAGTGCACGAATGGTGATTCGAAGGTAGAACAGTACGAAGAAGTGGCAATTACATATCTTCAAGGGCCTTCTGATCGTATTGGAACTGAATATGGAAGGTTACACAAGTTACCCCGCAACGTTACCCCCACTAAGCACCTTGCCCTAAACAGACAACGCATTATGATTCGAGGGTTGCTGGTACCATGTCTTAGTTTCGTAATGACGTGTGATAGCGAACATTATTTATGCTACAATCACAAGCTGAAATCCGAGAAGGTGCAGGAATAAGAAGGAGAACTTCTTCTCAACGTACAGCTTGAACATAATGTTGAAGCCAAATTCATTAGTACCGCTTCCATACATGGCATATCCATCTTGACGATGTGGTAAACGCACCATCGCATGACCACTAGCCTCTGTAATCGTAGGAATAGCGATTGGACATCAATTTCCCGCATCTCGAGATTTATCATCTATAAATAACGATAATCTAACAGGTGATGTGTGCATCGACGCTGAGGATGTCCCCAGTCTTGCAGAAAAGTTATAGACGGAAAGATCAGCCGCTACGAATTGAGACCCTTTCTGAGTGAAATTCAATCTCGAGCTTCATGAGAAGCCGTAACCATCATATCACTTGAGAATTGCCTCTGGAACGCTAAGAAAGAAACAAAATAAAATGTTTGACTGTGGTCCGTTTCGAGAGTCAAGCTTAGCTCCGGCAGCTAGTACTCCCAACTAGCGATGGGGATCTGCTCGGAGACGTTTTTTGAACAACGCGCTGATTGTGGTACTTGATCGCACCACCGACTCGCTTTGGGCACTGTGGCTATGTGGTGTGTGGAGATAATTACCAATGCGGACTGCCCTTGTGCGGCCTTGCTTCTATGAACGTCGAATTATGAGCAGGGGTGGAATAACGTTTGACTTCCGAACGTGGACCCTCGACACGGTGCACTGCTATAGTTAGCACAGGGCGATTGCTTTATGCCAGGACTGTATCTGCTGCTAGTGAATGAATTCGGTACTGTCTTGAACAGGATTGATATGTCCGAATATCCGATATAGGACGATGAAGATCAGGCCTATATTTATGGTATCACCGACTAAAGCAGTAATCCAATTCGAGCATATCCCAAATCGGTCGAGACAGACGGTGATTGCTCCATGTAGACGTGCACGGATGGCCCTCGCAGGTTACTGATGCCAGGAACAGTACCTCCAAAATGCAGAATGGTTGAGGAGCATGAAACGCGTGGCTGTTGACCTCAAGAATACCTTCATTAGGAAAATTGATCGAGCATGTGAAGGGACAAATGACTGCCGTGTATGCGAGATATCTCCCGAGCACGCAGATTCAGATCTGTGTGTGGAACAATCCAAGATCTGGTGGGAAGCGGCTGAACGGGACCACCGATGACCTTGAACCACTTCTTCTCGCTGCAAATATATGATTGGTTGTATCTTCAGTGTGTATGCAGCAGGTCGCAGTCTCCTTGTCGAGAACGCGGTTCGCGTGACGTTGGACAAACAGCCACAAAGCTTCTTCGTGCAGGTCTAGACAATACTAGACGTTGATTGGACCTATGCGGGGTACGTCTTGTCGACAGCTAGAGACACCGTGACCGGCCGATTGGCAGAGAGAATTCGCTGCAGATGCGTTGAGCTCGATCTTGGGGCTTTTTTTTCCAAGGGCGTCAGACGCGGCAGATGCGTTTCGCAGCGTGATATGTAGACGCGGCATGCGGAAAACCATGACTTGGACCATGGTAGACTGGGAGGTCAACTGGCATCGACCAGATGGCGTGGAGGGCCGATACCCATATAGAACTATATCGCGAGAGATCGAGTCGATGCATTGCTCCGCTGACCAGCTTGTTGCTGTCTGCCGTGTCTCGGATTGATGGCGCAAATGGATTACCGAGTGCTCTCCTCTCAGTAACGGTCAACCAGATCATTGGACCGAATCTTCGATGCGTATGTTCTCTAGGTCGTTATTTCAGTAGTAGCGAGCCACTAGAGACCCACTTCTCTACCAGATCTGCCGAAACAATGGTGAATGAGTACCGAGTATGTGGACGTCTTGGGGCAGCGTTTGGAGCAGCAAAGTCGTCATGTCGGTGATCTGTACTGGGCCCATGTGTGATGAAAATGTATCGAGCAGGGACAGCTTCCAAGCTTTGAAGTCGGCGCATATCAACAACAGCCTTTGATAGCGATGCGTCTACATCACGTGATTCTTCCATCAGTTCTGGTGCAGGTAGTGTGCAGTGTGTACGACAGGTGCGTGGAGCAGAAGCTGAGATTCTTGACGGAGCTTCTGTGACAGAGGCTGGAGGGCTTTGCAGACGTCAAGTGGATCCGTGGACATGAAGAAGTGCGGTCTCTGCGAGCGTTTGGAACGCTGGAGCTTTGGGAAGGAACACCCGGCGGTGAAGAGATGATGAGCGAGAAGGGAAGGAGATCTTCGCGCCGGCCGCTCCGCAAGGAGCCACGATTGGTGGCAGCTGCCTAAAATAGCTCGTGCCTTTTTGGATCCTGGCCTCGCGTCATCCCGGCGTGCAAAGCGGGGCCAGCGAGCATGGTGCAACGCGGACAGCAAACCAACCCTCGATTTTATTTATGCGGATACGAGGGAGCAGCAAGCAAAGATGGAGACGTCTGGCGCCTGAGGACCAGCGTGCTGCGTGCGTGCAGCTGCTGTGACGGTCGACGGCGGCTCCCCCCAAAACATCAGGAGATGACGCTCTGCGCAGCAAATGTCCATCAAACGGGCTTCATCTCGCAGTGCCTAGCAACCTCGTACTCTCCCCACGTCTTGGCGAGCATGGGCAGTCCTGCGAATTTCATGGGCCATGGGCCATGGTCGAGGTTGCAACTTGCAGCGCAGACGTGTGGCGGGTGGCCCGGAATTGGGCCGCGGGACCCTGTTGACGCAGGCGCAGGAGACGGCATGGCAGGCCGCGATGAGGTTATCTCATCTCCAAGGACGGGAGAGGATGCAGAGGGCGGGGTACAAACATGTCGGTGAGCTTCAACAGCACAAGCACGACGACCCGGCCGTCCTTATCGCATGCACGCCAGCGATAGCATCCTTGTCGACATTCCTGGCATGCTGGCGCCTTTG